CAGCATGTTTATGAGTACGATCCAAGTGCTGCGATGTTGATTCCCAACTTCCCCTTGTGGGTTCCCGGGGGGAAATGACAGACCCAGTGCCTCCTTCCCCACAAGCATGTTGTAAAAGGCGATTTTTAAATAGGGGAGATTTGTAACTCTGCCAAGTCATATTATGAAACTAAGAACCTGCTCCCTTCCTCACCACCTGTCCTTCCCAAACTTGTTCTGTAAGTGCACCCAGTTCGAGGACTAAATCTCATAAACTGAGGTTTAAACCCAGGCTGCTGTGTTAGTATGCGAGTGAACATTTAACCAGATCAAGCCACCTCAAGCAAACCTGTCAAATATCCTCTTCCTGCATTATGAGTGTAGTTTCTACTATTCTGACGTATTATGGATATTTGTATGACTAGACGTTTTCTTCTCCTCCTCTTCCACCTTGTACCTCATCGAAGTGTTGAGAGGAGATGTAACATTCGTTGATGAGCTCTGTCAAGAGCACTATTAAGACTGATGTTCATTTCTGTAGGGCTGTTCCTAATGCCATCACTCCATATTTTCCGAGGTCTTCCACGCGCTCTATACCCGTTGTAACGTTTTAGTGTGGCTCACTGAGGCAGACAGTACCAGGTCATTCTTGTTAGGTCCAAACCACTTCATTTGTTGTTCTTTGATGACCTGTAAGACTGGCTTTATTCCTAGCATTCGTCTGATTTCCTGATTTTGTATTTTGTCTTTCCTTGAAACTCCTCTAAGACATTTCATCTCTGTTGTCACAATTTTATGTTCATTGGAGGATGTAAGTGTCCACGTTCAGCTTTGATTGCATAGTGTTGGCCAAAAAATAGTTCTGATAAGATTCACTTTAGTACTCCGGGGTATCTGCTTGTGTGTCAACAGGGGAGATAGTTGCCCCATTACTTGATTAGCTTTTGCACATCTCGAGCTAATTTCTCTGCCAGCTTTCCGTCGGATGTGAAAATTGCTCCCAAATACTTAAATTCTTCTGTTTGTCTTAAGGTGTTGTTTTTTAATTTTATTTCTAAATTGTCTTTCTGTCTTCCTATCACCATTGTCTGTCTTCATAGTTTTATTTTCATATTATATTCCTCCCCATTGTTACTAATTTGATTTAGGTGGTTCTGTAGGCATTCCGTACTTTTTGCTATGAGTACCCGGTTGTCAGCGAATAGTTATTCTTCTTCATGATTAAAGTTTGTTTCCTTACAAATGGTATCCATGTATGTTATAAAAAGCGGCGGCGATAGTACACAGCCCTGAAGCACACCACTATAAAAGTTCACTATAAAAGTTCTTGACAATCCTGCCTTCGATCTTATCTAGCATTTACTGTGTGTGTACAGGCTTTTGCAAATATTAATGAGATGATTGCTGATTCCATTTTTTTCCCCTTACATTCCCACAACATATTCCTGTCGACTCCAAACCTTGTCGTTTATCTTAGCCACACAAAAAAGGTGGGTGTTGTTTTTTATTAAATATATGTAGCACTGTCTAATTGTTTCTGTGCTGATGAAGTCCTTTAAGCCTAGCATTTATCTGTCATATTCATGACTGTGGTACTGTGAAGACAACTAGTTTTACTTCTTGTCTGTACTGATACATAAATTACCCAGTGTGTAACAAATCAATTCTACTCCAAGCTGGCATCAACTGACGAGACTGAATTCCTTCAAACCAGCCGCTTGTCTTGTCCAACTGCCAGTAATCTATGAACACATAGGCTGTCTGAACATGATTCTCAAATACCATTCATTTCTCAACTACACCCACTGCTTTTCGAGCATAAACGAAGCTCACCAAAAAAAAAAGCGGGCGATGGAACGAATCCAGCAAGAGCCTAAACAAAGTCACCTGATGATGATTATGGACTGCTGCGCGAAGGATGGTTGAGTGGGCGTAGCCAGCAACACGTCCGTGACTAAAGCTATTCAATAATCAACAAACTCTAATGAGAACACAACCAGAATGGAAACAACTTCAAAGACAACTTCTTCTTCACGTTCACCAGCTGTAAACTCTGACAGAAAGTTCTGGTTGTTCAGCCACTCCTGAACTACAGTCCTGTTCCAGAACCTGGGTGTTGCGTGTGCATCCGTTTTACTGATCTGACTCATTTGTATGCTATTCAACAAAGCAACACAGAAACCTACACGGAGGTACAAGCAAAGAAAGCTGTAAAACATGAACAAACAAACTTTATTTTCAAAGGTCTAGCATTCTGGCCTCGCACACATCATGAATACTGACACAGCACCATATACCGCAAAGTACCAATGCAACAAAGTTCTACATCTTCAAATCAAATGTGAAAACAAAATCAACATAGCGGGGACCCCGACCCTTTAGTCAGTCGCACAAGTCTAGTTCCCCTGTGCACATTTTACCTACAGGTGTGAATCTCACATACCTATGTGCACATTATACCTACAGGTGTGAATCTCACATACGTATGTGTGAGTTTTACCCGCAGGTGTGAATCTCACATATGTATGTGTGAATTTTATCCAGGTGAGAATCTCACATACTTATGTGTGAATTCTACCTACTCATGAATGGATCTTAGTACTTATATGTGAATTAGCCTCCTACATATAAATCAAACCTTTCCCACCCAATAGGTGAATTTTACCTACTTATGAATGGATCTCAATCCTAATATGGAATTTTTCACTTACATATAAATCTTGCATGCCTAATATGGGAATTTTACCTACTTGCATGTGACTGTGAACTTTATTAACTTATGAATCAATCTTTTACCTATTTGTTTGTGAATCCGACACATTTATATGAATCTGAACAGAGTAAGCCACTATGTCTTGATAAAACCACATCATTCCCATGCACATACGTATATATTTATGAATATATATCTCCCATACACTCCGATGTGTATATGTGTGTGTGAGAATGCTGTTCAAATGACACGAGAAATGTGTATGCTAATGCTGTTTTAATGACCTCAGCACAGAAGCATTGCATCTTGAAGGAAACTGACGTACAAGAATGTATGATAGAAACAAGTGGTGACTTTTCATTGCAATCCATGTGTATCCACAGTAATCCATGTGTCTTTTCGGTAATCCATATGTATGTTTATAATAATCTATATTTACTACAGTAATCCATGCATGTATCTGTCACAATCTACATATTTCTACAGTGATAAGTGTATCAAATGTAATCCATATGTGTATCAAAGGTAATGCAAACGTGTACCAATAGTAGTCCTTATGTGTAACCATAGTAATCAATGACGTATATCTTAAAGTAAGCTTTAGTATCTACAGTAATTCATGATGTGCATACACACTACTCCATGTAAACATATCTACAGTAATCCATGATGTGCATACATACTAATCCATGTAAACATATCTACAATAATCCATGTGTGTATATACCTGCAGTAATTCATGATGTACATACATACTAATCCATGTGTGCATATATCTACTGTAACCCATGATGTACATACATAACAATCCACATGTGGATTCATCTACTGTAATCCGTGATGTGCATATATATTAATGCACATTTACATATATCCAGTAATCAAAGATACACATACATACTAATCCACATGTACATATTTCTTTAGAAAACCATGATGTGCATATATACCAATCCATGTGTACATTTATCTATAGTAACTACGAGTCAAGATGCCTGTCACTATAAAGACCCTTTGGATGGTACAACGAATCTGTCACTGTACCGGTCCTCTGTATGGTACAATGAACCTGTCACTGTACTGGCCCTCTGTGTGGTACAACGAATCTGTCACTGTACCGGCCCTCAGTCAATGTATCTAACCTCTGTATGGTAAAACCGATTTCTGCCACTGTACCGTACCGACCCTCTGTAGGTACAGCCAATCTCTATCACTGTACCAAACCTCTATAGGTACAAACAACCTGTCACAGTACCAACGATCTGTAGGTACAGCCAATCTCTATCACTGTACCGAAGCTCTATAGGTACAAACAACCTGCCACTGTAACTACCCTCTGTAGGTACAGCCAATCTCTATCACTGTACCGAACCTCTATAGGTACAAACAACCTGCCACTGTAACTACCCTCTGTAGGTACAGCCAATCTCTATCACTGTACCGAACCTCTACAGGTACAAACAACCTGTCACAGTACCGACCATCTGTAGGTACAGCTAATCTCTATCACTGTACCGAACCTCTATAGGTACAAACAACTTGCCACTATAACTACCTTCTGTACGGTACAGACAATCTTTATCAAACTGTAACTACATTCTGTACTGTTCAGCGGGACTTTATGAATGTGCCCACCCTCTGTATGGTACAATCTCCTGGCACTGTACCGACCTTCTGTATGATGTGAATCTCACATATCACTGAGAACAAACCCTTTGAATTCTTGTAATGCAAAGCCTCATGAGAACAGAAATAAAAGTTCCAGCAAGACTGTTGATAAATGACCGATGTTAGGGTCAGGAGTGCTGACCAAGAGTGGAGATTGAAACGACCAGAGCAGGCTAATGCTTCCCTGTCGGAACAAAACTTTTATCCATAGTTTGTGCTCGCTAGCCTAGTTGCTTAGACCTGACTTCATGGGACCAGGTGACAAAACTCCTTGTGGTCCGGGTTCACACCGGGGGTTGGCAGAAAAGCCACATTTCTCCCAAATTTACAGTACCTGACATGAAATCAAGACAGCAGGGTCTGGATATTTTTAAAAAAATATAGTTTGTGCATCCTGTTGGCAGTAACTGTATAAGATATAAGAAGGTCTCTCCGAGGACGTGTCTTGACGACTTCCACTTGTAACTGTGGAATGAACTGTAGTTTTATATTCCTGACCTGAAAGGACACTTCAGGACATCGTCGTCCTAGTCCTGGGCTGGCAGAACAACTCAAGGCTGTATAACTAAATGAGAAATCAGCCCTACCAACGCTGGAGGCGAGAGAAGCTAAAACACGGCAAATGTTAAACAACGAAGCCTCATCTTCTGTTCTTATTTCTCCGAGGCGTGTCTGCACCAGTCCAATCTGGGTCAGTAGGATCATCGTGAGCAATCCGTCTAGTCCTACTACGTTTAGATCCATCGCCTCCCATCCATTCCGGATCGTTCAGATCATCACCAGCAGACGAAGCAGACTCAATGCTGGGGTGAGGCGATGGCACGGCACTTCCGTCATCCATGTTTTCTGTAGAACCTCCGACGTACACTTTCCCTGACGGTTCCGCTAACCGCCTGGGCACGCGATGATGAACCGGCTCACAGCTGGGAGGCAAATCATCCTGCATCAATCTGTAATCATCTTCTGAGAGAGGAAATGTCCGCCGGGGCCAGGGTTCCACGCCTCCGACATCAATAAAAGCATTGTGAACATCCTCGGACATCACAGAAGAGCTGCGGTCACGCTTGGGAAAAGACAAAGACATGGTGCGCCTTCTGACCGACAACTGTTGCTGCAGGGCATCCATAGAATCATCCACGCTGGCACTCTGCCCATGGAACAACTGGTGACTGTGGAAAGATGGAAAATAATTCAATGTAGTCAACATAACAAAGTGGGGGGACAAAACAAAATGAGAATCGTCATCTTTTATCTTCCGTGTTCGGCCTCAAAGGGGCAGGTAGCACAATGCAGTGTAGCTTACAGCTAGGCTGCGATATCTGCATCTTTCTAACAGATTTCAACCTTTCTTTGTCATCTTCTAGGGCAAGGTTGTTAAGGGGCAGTGGATCTATGCCCCCCCCCCCCCAACACAAACCAAAATGAGGCCTTAGACCACAGTACAAAAGTCGGATGACAAATTCAACACTAGGCTTTCCTCGTGTGGGGGTCCGAGACCTCTTCGTGTGGGAGTCTGAGACCTCCTCGTGTAGGGATCTGAGACCTCCTCGTGTGGGGATCCGAGACGACCTCGTGTGGGGATCCGAGACCTCCTCGTGTGGGATTCGAGACCTCCTCATGCGGGGTCTGAGACCCCATTGCGGGGTGGGACAGAAGAACAGATCCACTGCCCAAAACAAGCAAACTGTAAAAGACATTAATTAGGGGTGTTTCCAGAGGTTCACGTACCAGCCTCATGTCTTGTCTTCCACTCAGCAGCAATGTACATTTTTTTGCTGACCCCACCCCACTGAGCACCAAGCCAGCAGGATCCTGACCCCACTGAGCACCAAGCCAGCGGGATGCTGACCCCACTGAGCACCAAGCCAGCGGGATGCTGACCCCACTGAGCACCAAGCCAGCGGGATGCTGACCCCACTGAGCACCAAGCCAGTGGGATGCTGACCCCGCTGAGCACCAAGCCAGTGGGATGCTGACCCCACTGAGCACCAAGCCAGCAGGATGCTGACCCTGCTAAGCACCAAGCTTCAGTAGGGCTAGACCTATATTTTTTTAGACCAGTCAGCACTCTGTGAGTGATTAGGTCAACATCGCGCTGGCCGCCTTTACTTCACAGGACTGCACCTGGTACCCACTAAAGGCTAGATCAACCTGGGAGCAACGGTCATTTTAGGGGAAAAGTCAGGCTCCATCAGGACACGAACCCATGACCCTCAGATTCACAGGCAAGGGTCTAGCTGCTACCCCACAGCGGCTCCCACTGGAGAGATAATATCCAGATAGACCTGCAAACACTTGAGGTCACCAATTGGAAAGACAGGACTAATCACAAGATGAAATGAGGCAGTTGATATCTGCAGCAATGAACCTCAAGGACTCGGAATTCTAAGAAAAAAAAAAAGAAATCCAAAAAAAAAAGAAAAAAAAGAAAGAAAGAAAATAACTTAACTTGGACAAATGCATAGAAAATATTGTGCTCTTTGCACCTGGCTAAATTATGATCACTCAACAGAAATGAGATACACAAAAACAAACCTTCTGTTCCACACTGGCGTTGAGGGACGAGATGGTAAAAAAGTGTCTTCACTAAGTGAGCCCAGTGGCTCCCCCACGTCGGTTCGATCTGAAGAAATCTGTTTATCACCGGAGACAACTGCAGGCATGGTGTCCAGGCGGGCTCTGTTCCGCCTCACTGGGGGGTACTGGACAAAGTTTCGGAACCGCTTCTTCTCCTCCTGCTCCAGGGAATGGTGTCTGACTGCAAATTTGTCATCTGAGAGATCCTCCTCGGCCTGAAACAGAGATAACAGGAGGTACAGACAGACAACCAAGCAAACAACCTTTACTCACAAATTGGGCTTGCAGGCCCATCTTACATTCTGCCCATTCAAAAACGAATCTTTCACCTGCAACTGTATTGTATATGCCAAGCGGCCTGGGATCTCTAAACAAGCCGCACCCAAGAACCACATGACAGAGCCCTAAAGTGAACCCACATCCTTGACTGTAGGAGGCAAACAGGTTAACCCCTTGGCAATGAAGACTCAAAGTGCAATCAAGTGTACTACAGGGCACATGGTGTGTGAAACAAGAGACACGGACATGCAAATGCATACGTTTTGTGTGTGTGTCTGGGTAGGTAGGTAAGGTGTGAGAGAGAGAGTGTGTGGGAGAGAGAAAGTGCATGTGGGTAGGTAGGTAGGGTGTGTGAGAGGGAGAGTGTGTGTGAGAGAGTATGTGTTACTTTGCGCTGATATATGATTGTGTGTTTTTGGCAATGACTTATATATGTAGGCAGGTTCTGAGGTGGTGGGTGGGAGTGTCTGTGTTCACGCACATGGGGGAGGAAAGTTGGGGGGAGCTAGTTGAACAAGTGGATTACAGCTAAAGTTGGGTATACAAGACAGGTGAACAAGTGGACTACAGCTAAAGTTGGGTATACAAGACAGCTGAACAGGTGGACTACAGCTAAAGTTGGGTATACAAGACAGGTGAACAAGTGGACTACAGCTAAAGTTGGGTATACAAGACAGCTGAACAGGTGGACTACAGCTAAAGTTGGGTATACAAGACAGCTGAACAAGTGGACTACAGCTAAAGTTGGGTATACAAGACAGTTGAACAAGTGGACTACAGCTAAAGTTGGGTATACAAGACAGCTGAACAAGTGGACTACAGCTAAAGTTGGGTATACAAGACAGCTGAACAAGTGGACTACAGCTAAAGTGGTGGGATAGAAGACACTTGAACAAGTGGATTACAGCTAAAGTTGGGTATACAAGACAGCTGAACAAGTGGACTACAGCTAAAGTTGGGTATACAAGACAGGTAAACAAGTGGACTACATCTAAAGTCGTGGGATAGAAGACAGCTGAACAAGTGGACTACAGCTAAAGTTGGGTATACAAGACAGCTGAACAAGTGGACTACAGCTAAAGTTGGGTATACAAGACAGCTGAACAAGTGGACTACAGCTAAAGTTGGGTATACAAGACAGCTGAACAAGTGGACTACAGCTAAAGTTGGGTATACAAGACAGCTGAACAAGTGGACTACAGCTAAAGTTGGGTATACAAGACAGCTGAACAAGTGGACTACAGCTAAAGTTGGGTATACAAGACAGCTGAACAAGTGGACTACAGCTAAAGTTGGGTATACAAGACAGCTGAACAAGTGGACTACAGCTAAAGTTGGGTATACAAGACAGCTGAACAAGTGGACTACAGCTAAAGTTGGGTATACAAGACAGCTGAACAAGTGGACTACAGCTAAAGTTGGGTATACAAGACAGCTGAACAAGTGGACTACAGCTAAAGTTGGGTATACAAGACAGTTGAACAAGTGGACTACAGCTAAAGTTGGGTATACAAGACAGCTGAACAAGTGGACTACAGCTAAAGTTGGGTATACAAGACAGCTGAACAAGTGGACTACAGCTAAAGTGGTGGGATAGAAGACACTTGAACAAGTGGATTACAGCTAAAGTTGGGTATACAAGACAGCTGAACAAGTGGACTACAGCTAAAGTAGGGTATACAAGACAGGTGAACAAGTGGACTACATCTAAAGTCGTGGGATAGAAGACAGCTGAACAAGTGGACTACAGCTAAAGTTGGGTATACAAGACAGCTGAACAAGTGGACTACAGCTAAAGTTGGGTATACAAGACAGCTGAACAAGTGGACTACAGCTAAAGTGGTGGGATAGAAGACACTTGAACAAGTGGACTACAGCTAAAGTTGGGTATACAAGACAGCTGAACAAGTGGACTACAGCTAAAGTGGTGGGATAGAAGACACTTGAACAAGTGGACTACAGCTAAAGTCATGGGATAGAAGACAGGTGAACAAGTGGACTACAGCTGAAATCGTGGGATAGAAGACAGGTGAACAAGTGGACTACAGCTAAAGTCATGGGATAGAAGACAGGTGAACAAGTGGACTACAGCTAAAGTTGGGTATACAAGACAGCTGAACGAGTGGACTACAGCTAAAGTGGTGGGATAGAAGACACTTGAACAAGTGGACTACAGCTAAAGTTGGGTATACAAGACAGCTGAACAAGTGGACTACAGCTAAAGTGGTGGGATAGAAGACACTTGAACAAGTGGACTACAGCTAAAGTCATGGGATAGAAGACAGGTGAACAAGTGGACTACAGCTGAAATCGTGGGATAGAAGACAGGTGAACAAGTGGACTACAGCTAAAGTCATGGGATAGAAGACAGGTGAACAAGTGGACTACAGCTGAAATCGTGGGATAGAAGACAGGTGAACAAGTGGACTACAGCTAAAGTCATGGGATAGAAGACAGGTGAACAAGTGGACTCTACAGCTCAAATGTTGGGTACAGTCCCTACTAACGTCTCACCTCCTCATCAAGTGATGATGTGTTCAGATTCTGCGGCTCGTTTGGTATTGTGACTCCATTGGTCTTCTCCAGCTTCTTGGTTATTAAGCTGTCAACCAATTCAGTTGATGCAATAATCTCTGACACTTCCCGCCACCTGAAGAAACACAACAATGAGCAGATGTTGTAGGAAAAACATACTAGTTGTGTGAGGTAGGGAAAACATACTGGCTGTGTGAGGTAGGGCAAACATACTGGCTGTGTGAGGTAGGGCAAACATACTGGCTGTGTGAGGTAGGGCTAACATACTGGCTATGTGAGGTAGGGCTAACATACTGGCTGTGTGAGGTAGGGCTAACATACTGGCTGTGTGAGGTAGGGCAAACATACTGGCTGTGTGAGGTAGGGCAAACATACTGGCTATGTGAGGTAGGGCTAACATACTGGCTGTGTGAGGTAGGGCTAATATACTGGCTGTGTGAGGTAGGGCTAACATACTGGCTGTGTGAGGTAGGGCAAACATACTGGCTGTGTGAGGTAGGGCTAACATACTGGCTGTGTGAGGTAGGGCTAACATACTGGTTGTGTGAGGTAGGGCAAACATACTGGCTGTGTGAGGTAGGGCAAACATACTGGCTGTGTGAGGTAGGGCAAACATACTGGCTGTGTGAGGTAGGGCAAACATACTGGCTGTGTGAGGTAGGGCAAACATACTGGCTGTGTGAGATAGGGCAAACATACTGGCTGTGTGAGGTAGGGCAAACATACTGGCTGTGTGAGGTAGGGCTAACATACTGGCTGTGTGAGGTAGGGCAAACATACTGGCTATGTGAGGTAGGGCAAACATACTGGCTGTGTGAGGTAGGGCTAACATACTGGCTGTGTGAGGTAGGGCAAACATACTGGCTGTGTGAGGTAGGGCAAACATACTGGCTATGTGAGGTAGGGCTAACATACTGGCTATGTGAGGTAGGGCTAACATACTGGCTGTGTGAGGTAGGGCAAACATACTGGCTGTGTGAGGTAGGGCAAACATACTAGTTGTGTGAGGTAGGGCAAACATACTGGCTGTGTGAGGTAGGGCAAACATACTGGCTGTGTGAGGTAGGGCAAACATACTGGCTGTGTGAGGTAGGGCAAACATACTGGCTGTGTGAGGTAGGGCAAACATACTGGCTGTGTGAGGTAGGGCAAACATACTGGCTGTGTGAGGTAGGGCTAACATACTGGCTGTGTGAGGTAGGGCAAACATACTGGCTGTGTGAGGTAGGGCTAACATACTGGCTGTGTGAGGTAGGGCAAACATACTGGCTGTGTGAGGTAGGGCAAACATACTGGCTATGTGAGGTAGGGCAAACATACTGGCTGTGTGAGGTAGGGCAAACATACTGGCTGTGTGAGGTAGGGCAAACATACTAGTTGTGTGAGGTAGGGCTAATTTACTGGCTGTGTGAGGTAGGGCAAACATACTAGTTGTGTGAGGTAGGGCTAATTTACTGGCTGTGTGAGGTAGGGCAAACATACTGGCAGTGATCTGCTGGCCATTTTCCGTGTCTCTAAAGACTCGATTCAGCCCGCAGGCCACCAGTTCAATAGTCCTGCCGTACATCCTGCGTTTTCCTTCAAAGTCAGAGTGCACATGCCTGAGCGGCAAGGAACAACCACTGCCCAGAAACAAGCCATTAAAACGGATGTACACACAATACAAAGCCAAAGTTCAAATAAATGAATAACCAGGACCTTCTGTCTAAGCTTACAACAGGTGAACAAAGAAGATGAACAGCAACAGTAAAAACCTGTGTTGGATAAAAGCCAGACAAATTATTACATAAAATCTCGTTTAAAAAAGAAAACAATAACAACATTCAGTTAACAGGAATAAAATGTTGGCCCCAGCTTAGTTATTAATCCCCAGTTAGTATGATTTTTTGTTTTTTTTTAACATATGATCTCACTTTTTGGTTGCTAGGACTCATGTTAACAAGGTTTTACTTTGACTCATCTGATGGTGAAAAATTTAGTATGGGCCAGTGGTCTCCAACCTTTTTTTATGTGGTGCCCCCTTTGAGTATATGACAAAGAGGCCCCCCTACCCCCACGACAGGACAGATGGGGTCAGGGCCCTTTGGGAACAAGCAACGGAGTCAGAAGCAAAACAAGATTATTATAGCCTGGGGAGAATGAGGCACCTGCTTGTAACCAGGGGATCGTCTCACTACACTCAGGGGAAAGGCAAGGCGGACACATAATCAGACCACGACCGGTACCATTAGTATTTGAACTCAGCGATGGCTGCTGAAGATGAGGACGAGCACGGATGGGAATGCCTCGAGTGCTATGTCAATTCTTGACTGAACTCAGGCCCCCCCCCCCCCCCCCCCAACAAACTGCGATTAAAAATTAGAGAACACAGAAAAATCCCAAGTACTGTTGATAAGAACTTTGAGGATAATACACACATAATTGAAAGTGTCAAATAACAAAAGAAACAATCATCAACAACTGGTAAATATCAATATGATGGCTGACACTGATTTCGTCTTGATCACATCTACAAATTTTGATTTCACAGACAAAAGCACAACGGAGATCACGCTCAACACCAGCACTGTTTTGTTTTCGTGACTGTTAAAGCTGAAAATCTGCATTATTACATGTACAAATGAACTCAATTTCAAAACTGAGCAGGCAGGACCAGCCTGGCATTTCAAGCCAGTGGGAAAAACAAGAGCAGGCCCACTCTCTCTACAACAAGCATGTCATAGAAGTCGACTGATTAGGGGCTTCCTTCAAATTCAGACTGCACCTACTTGAGAGGCAAAGAACCAACAGTCTGCAGAAACAGAAACCACATCTGTGAAATGGATGAAGTCAGATTGCACCTACTTGAGAGGCAAAGAACCAACAGTCTGCAGACACAGAAGCCACATCTGTGAAGCGGATGTACATGCGGCACCGCAGTTTAGAGGTGGACAACCACCCAGAATTTTCTGCAAGAGTTTACAGCCATTACATAAGGCTCACCGTCTAGTCCTCCATTGTGTCCTGTGCAATAGTTTTGATTCAATGGATGGAACTGAGTCCAGCATCTTTGACCTCTCTTAACAACATTCATCCCAGGGTTTCTCTCGTATGTCGTTTCATCAATCCATTTTTTTCCCATTTCAGTACCTGTCTGGCAATTCTCAGTCCTCTTTCCAGGATGTGCCCAAATATATGACCTTTTTTTCCTCACCATTGTTGATACAAGCAGTTGCCCCATCATTTATCTTATCTCGTTAACCTTCCTAAGTTCACCCCATCTGCTGTTTATCAGCTTCCTAAGACATTTGTTTTTGAGTGCATTTAACTCTTGCTTCACTTACTGTTATCACAATCAACTAATAATCTCACCCACTTGGGTTGCCCGTGTGGGTTCCATGCCCCACTGACAAGAATACATTTAAGTGGACAAGAAACCAGATCGTCTTAGGAACGATATCAGGAGGAGTGTCAGCATAGAACCATTTCTGAACTTTATAGTCAGACAACAAATCAAATGGTTTGGCCACGTAACCAGACTGACATCAGACAGGGTACCACAGAGAGCAATGTTATACAGATACAACAGTAACAGAGCCCGAGGTTGACCACGCAAAAAATGCACCTCAGAAATATGACAAGACACTGAAAAGTACTTTATACAAAGAGAACAGAAGGGCCTGTTCCAGAGATCTCTTTCTGGCCTGATGCCTTCCAGGAGTAGAGAACAGATCTTTCTGCTGGACTTCACACTTGATGAACATGAAGAAGAAGAACAACAACTCACTTGGGTGTGACTATCTCCAACAACAACAACTCACTTGGGTGTGACTATCTTGAAGAACAATAACTCACTTGGGTGTGACTATCTCGAAGAAGAAGAACAATAACTCACTTGGGTGTGACTATCTCGAAGAACAACAACAACTCACTTGGGTGTGACTATCTCGAAGAACAACAACAACTCACTTGGGTGTGACTATCTCGAAGAACAACAACAACTCACTTGGGTGTGACTATCTCGAAGAACAACAACAACTCACTTGGGTGTGACTATTTCGAAGAACAACAACAACTCACTTGGGTGTGACTATCTCAAAGAAGAACAACAACAACTCACTTGGGTGTGACTATCTCGAAGAACAACAACAACAACTCACTTGGGTGTGACTATCTCGAAGAATAACAACTCACTTGGGTGTGACTATCTCGAAGAACAACAATAACTCACTTGGGTGTGACTATCTCGAAGAACAACAACAACAACTCACTTGGGTGTGACTATCTCGAAGAACAACAACTCACTTGGGTGTGACTATCTCGAAGAACAACAACTCACTTGGGTGTGACTATCTCGAAGAACAACAACTCACTTGGGTGTGACTATCTCGAAGAACAACAACTCACTTGGGTGTGACTATCTCAAAGAAGAACAACAACAATTCACTTGGGTGCGACTATCTCGAAGAAGAACAACAACTCACTTGGGTGTGACTATCTCGAAGAAGGAGAACAACAACTCACTTGGGTGTGACTATCTCGAAGAAGAAGAACAACAACTCACTTGGGTGTGACTATCTCGAAGAACAACAACTCACTTGGGTGTGACTATCTCGAAGAACAACAACAACAACTCACTTGGGTGTGACTATCTCGAAGAACAACAACAACAACTCACTTAGGTGTGACTATCTCCTTGTACTGAGGCTGTTCCACTCTGGTGGAGGCTGCCATGCTCAGGGGGATCACAATGTTGTTGATGTCAAAGGAGGTGTCGACTTTCCTCTTGCGGTGGGGGATGTCACGCATATCCTTCAAGGACGACTGTGAAGCACTACGAGCTAGGCCGCCCTCTCGGGTTGAGTAGTCTGCCTCCAAGTAATCTTCATAATCTTCCTCCTCTTGTTCCGGCTGGTTCTTTTTCATTGCTTCTGAAACAGGCAAACATGAGCATCAGTCACACAATCAAATCAGTCACACAATCAACATTAACAGCAGTCAAAACATCAAGAGCATCAGTCACAGAATTAACATTAACAACAGTCAAAACACTAATAGCATCTGTCACACAATCAACATTAACAACCGTCAAAACATCAAGAGCATCAGTCACACAATCAACATTAACAACAGTCAAAACATCAAGAGCATCAGTCACACAATCAACATTAACAACAGTCAAAACATCAAGAGCATCAGTCACACAATCAACATTAACAACAGTCAAAACATCAAGAGCATCAGTCACACAATCAACATTAACAACAGTCAAAACATCAAGAGCATCAGTCACACAATCAACATTAACAACAGTCAAAACATCAAGAGCATCAGTCACACAATCAACATTAACAACAGTCAAAACATCAAGAGCATCAGTCACACAATCAACATTAACAACAGTCAAAACATCAAGAGCATCAGTCACACAATCAACATTAACAACAGTCAAAACATCAAGAGCATCAGTCACACAATCAACATTAACAACAGTCAAAACATCAAGAGCATCAGTCACACAATCAACATTAACAGCAGTCAAAACATCAAGAGCATCAGTCACAGAATTAACATTAACAACAGTCAAAACACTAATAGCATCTGTCACACAATCAACATTTACAACCGTCAAAACATCAAGAGCATCTGTCACACAGTCAACATTAACACCAGTCAAAACATCAATATTAGCATCAGTCAAATAACATTCATTCATTCATTATCCTGTTGTCCCTTTTTATGGCACATAGGGCTCCTAATCTACTCCCCCATTCCATCCTATTCTGTGCAATCAGTTCAATATCATGGATAGAATCCAGTCCAGCAGCTTTGGCCTCTCTCATTAACGCTCGTATCAGAGCCTTTAGGGTGTCCTCGCCTCCTTAATTCCATTATTTCCCATTTCAGTGCCTGTCTGGTGATGCTATGTTCGTTTCTTCCAAGGATGTGTCCAGTATAGCGCCATCTTCTCTGTTTTATAAATGTTGTTACCAGTGGTTGCCCAGACATTTCTCTTATTTCTTCACTCCTTTTGAATTCATCCCATTTTATTTTCATCATTTTTCTCAGACATTTGTTTTTGAATGCCTTTAACTTTTGTTTCATGTCGTCATTGGTTCAACTTTCGCTGGCATGTAAAAACCAACATTAGCATCAATCACATAATAAACATTTAGCATGTCAGTAATGAACCACCAATTTACCAGCTGCAGTAATTAACCAACAGTTCACATGCAGCAGTAATGAAACCAGTATACCAGCTGCAGCAATGAGTGCCCGGTTTACCAGCTGCAGTAATGACCCTCCAGTTTACCAGCTGCAGTAATAAACCACCAGTTTACCAGCTGCAGTAACAAACCCACACTTTACCAGCTGAAGCATGAACCTATAGTTTACCAGCTGAATTATGAACCCATAGTTCACCAGCTGAATTATGAACCCACAGTTTATCAGTTGCAGTACCGAACCTACAATTTACCAGCTGCAGCAATGAACCCAGTTCACCAGCAGCAGTAGTACAACAGCTTCAGTAAAGAAACCCTAGTTTACAATGTACAGCAAAGACCCAATGATCCCATGAACTAAATTTAATGAATATGTTCGTATATTCTTACCTCGTGCTGCTCTGGCAGCCTTTTTCTGGACCTTATTCACACGAGGTTTCACCGATGAAGCTTTTGATCCCTTTGCTTTTTTTGTCTTTTTGGTCTCGTACTTGTTCTTAATTTCTGCTCAGAAAAACAAACACAAAAGACATCAAGGCAAATGTGATGGTGGACTGCACAAACATAATATTTGGTGTTAAGTTTAATGACTGAAGACTTTTTGAAATCAATTTTTTTGTGCAACGTAATCAAATATGTGTATATGTCATGTTTCAAGAATCAGGTAACCATTAGTTTAGAATATCACTGCTATACATCAGTTATAGTAACTGATCTTAGCTATAATGGTGTTAAGTTGGACTACATAAACACCACATGATGGTGGACGACATAAACACTACATGATGATGGACTACATAAACATTTTATGAAGATGAACTACACAAACACTATATGAAGATGAACTGCACAAACACTATATGAAGATGAACTGCACAAACACTATATGAAGATGAACTACACAAACACTATATGAAGATGAACTACACAAACACTATATGAAGATGAACTACACAAACACTATGAAGATGAACTGCACAAACACTATATGAAGATGAACTACACAAACACTATACAAAGATGAACTGCACAAACACTATATGAAGATGAACTACACAAACACTATATGAAGATGAACTACATATGAACTACACAAACACTATATGAAGATGAACTACATATGAACTACACAAACACTATATGAAGATGAACTACACAAACACTACATGATGGTGGACAAATGCAGAAACAATTTTGAGCACCACACAGAAGATAATAACTGAACTTTAAAAAAAATTATGCTTTAAGTCCCAAAGCAGGTCCTTTTCTTCCTCTTTGGCGTCCGAACTTTAAAGAGTTTTGGGCACAAGGCGCTGTTTACAGCTAGGTTGTGATATCTGCACCTTTTGGCTAATTCATAAAGAAAATATTCTCACAATTCCAATCCATCACAGAGAATAAACTTTGACACCAATAGATTACAGCAGGGCAATTCAACTGGTGGCCTGCGGAGGTATAGCACACGGCCCACGGATCACTGCCAGTTGCACTGTATTAATGATCTTTTCATGCTGCTGCTCGGACACCTGGCCTGTGATGATCCAGTTTAAAAATGTGGGCCCCAGAGTAAATTAGTTGAACAGCCCTGGATTACAACATACCCTAACTATTATCAATTAATCACTCAGAACAAACTTTATTTACTGCCAATGGATTACCATTTACAACATACCAAACTATTGATCAATCACACAGAACAAACTCTGCCACTAATGGATTACCATATACAACACACCCTAACTATTGATCAATGACACAGAACAAACTCTGCCACTAATGTATTACCATTTACAACATACCAAACTATTGATCAATGACACAGAACAAACTCTGCCACTAATGGATTACCATATACAACACACCCTAACTATTGATCAATGACACAGAACAAACTCTGCCACTAATGGATTACCATTTACAACATACCAAACTATTGATCAATGACACAGAACAAACTCTGCCACTAATGGATTACCATTTACAACATACCAAACTATTGATCAATGACACAGAACAAACTCTGCCACTAATGGATTACCATTTACAACATACCAAACTATTGATCAATGACACAGAACAAACTCTGCCACTAATGGATTACCATTTACAACATACCAAACTATTGATCAATGACACAGAACAAACTCTGCCACTAATGGATTACCATTTACAACACACCAAACTATTGATCAATGACACAGAACAAACTCTGCCACTAATGGATTACCATATACAACACACCCTAACTATTGATCAATGACACAGAACAAACTCTGCCATAAATGGATTACCATTTACAACATACCAAACTATTGATCAATGACACAGAACAAACTCTGCCACTAATGGATTACCATATACAACACACCCTAACTATTGATCAATGACACAGAACAAACTCTGCCACTAATGGATTACCATTTACAACATACCAAACTATTGATCAATGACACAGAACAAACTCTGCCACTAATGGATTACCATTTACAACATACCCTAACTATTGATCAATGACACAGAACAAACTGCCACTAATGGATTACCATATACAACATTCCCTAACTATTGATCAATGACACAGAACAAACTCTGCCACTAATGTATTACCATATACAACATACCCTAACTATTGATCAATGACACAGAACAAACTCTGCCACTAATGGATTACCATTTACAACACACCAAACTATTGATCAATGACACAGAACAAACTCTGCCACTAATGGATTACCATATACAACACACCCTAACTATTGATCAATGACACAGAACAAACTCTGCCACAAATGGATTACCATTTACAACATACCAAACTATTGATCAATGACACAGAACAAACTCTGCCACTAATGGATTGCCATATACAACACACCCTAACTATTGATCAATGACACAGAACAAACTACTCTGCCACTAATGGATTACCATTTACAACATACCAAACTATTGATCAATGACACAGAACAAACTCTGCCACTAATGGATTACCATTTACAACATACCAAACTATTGATCAATGACACAGAACAAACTCTGCCACTAAAGGATTACCATTTACAACATACCCTAACTATTGATCAATGACACAGAACAAACTCTGCCACTAATGGATTACCATATACAACATACCCTAACTATTGATCAATGACACAGAACAAACTCTGCCACTAATGGATTACCATATACAACATACCCTAACTATTGATCAATGACACAGAACAAACTCTGCCACTAATGGATTACCATATACAACACACCCTAACTATTGATCAATGACACAGAACAAACTCTGCCACTAATGGATTACCATATACAACATACCCTAATTATTGATCAATGACACAGAACAAACTACTCTGCCACTAATGGATTACCATATACAACACACCGAACTATTGATCAATGACACAGAACAAACTACTCTGCCACTAATGGATTACCATATACAACACACCGAACTATTGATCAATGACACAGAACAAACTCTGCCACTAATGGATTACCATATACAACATACCTTAACTGTTCATCAATGACACAGAACAAACTCTGCCACTAATGGATTACCATATACAACACACCCTAACTATTGATCAATGACACAGAACAAACTCTGCCACTAATGGATTACCATATACAACATACCCTAACTATTGATCAATGACACAGAACAAACTACTCTGCCACTAATGGATTACCATATACAACACACCGAACTATTGATCAATGACACAGAACAAACTACTCTGCCACTAATGGATTACCATATACAACACACCGAACTATTGATCAATGACACAGAACAAACTCTGCCACTAATGGATTACCATATACAACATACCTTAACTGTTCATCAATGACACAGAACAAACTCTGCCACTAATGGATTACCATATACAACACACCGAACTATTGATCAATGACACAGAACAAACTACTCTGCCACTAATGGATTACCATATACAACATACCTTAACTGTTCATCAATGACACAGAACAAACTGCCACTAATGGATTACCATATACAACACACCGAACTATTGATCAATGACACAGAACAAAACTACTCTGCCACTAATGGATTACCATATACAACACACCGAACTATTGATCAATGACACAGAACAAACTCTGCCACTAATGGATTACCATATACAACATACCTTAACTGTTCATCAATGACACAGAACAAACTCTGCCACTAATGGATTACCATATACAACACACCGAACTATTGATCAATGACACAGAACAAACTACTCTGCCACTAATGGATTACCATATACAACATACCTTAACTGTTCATCAATGACACAGAACAAACTGCCACTAATGGATTACCATATACAACACACCGAACTATTGATCAATGACACAGAACAAACTACTCTGCCACTAATGGATTACCATATACAACACACCGAACTATTGATCAATGACACAGAACAAACTCTGCCACTAATGGATTACCATATACAACATACCTTAACTGTTCATCAATGACACAGAACAAACTCTGCCACTAATGGATTACCATATACAACACACCGAACTATTGATCAATGACACAGAACAAACTACTCTGCCACTAATGGATTACCATATACAACATACCTTAACTGTTCATCAATGACACAGAACAAACTGCCACTAATGGATTACCATATACAACACACCGAACTATTGATCAATGACACAGAACAAACTACTCTGCCACTAATGGATTACCATATACAACACACCGAACTATTGATCAATGACACAGAACAAACTCTGCCACTAATGGATTACCATATACAACATACCTTAACTGTTCATCAATGACACAGAACAAACTCTGCCACTAATGGATTACCATATACAACACACCGAACTATTGATCAATGACACAGAACAAACTACTCTGCCACTAATGGATTACCATATACAACATACCTTAACTGTTCATCAATGACACAGAACAAACTGCCACTAATGGATTACCATATACAACACACCGAACTATTGATCAATGACACAGAACAAACTACTCTGCCACTAATGGATTACCATATACAACACACCGAACTATTGATCAATGACACAGAACAAACTCTGCCACTAATGGATTACCATATACAACATACCTTAACTGTTCATCAATGACACAGAACAAACTCTGCCACTAATGGATTACCATATACAACACACCGAACTATTGATCAATGACACAGAACAAACTCTGCCACTAATGGATTACCATATACAACATACCTTAACTGTTCATCAATGACACAGAACAAACTGCCACTAATAGATTACCACATCCACAAAACCTAACATTAGCAACTCCTAACATAAAACAAATTTTGATACAGTTTACATTTTAAAATATGAGACCATCCAGCACCAAGCATCTCCCCCAACAATAACAATAACCTGGAAACAGGTTTCTTCATCCTTATATTCACCCATTTTGCTGGCAGGATGCTGACCACATCAACCCTTGAGTGCCGACTGGTTAAAAAAATATAGAGATGGTTAATAAAAATGCCATTTTCCCCTCCTCTGCTTCGTCAATCATCTCCCCAGCTGCCTTATGTCTATTCACTGCCCTAAAGACCCCCCCCCCCCCCAATCTGACCTATTAAGTAGCTGCTCCCTTGCAAGCCCCTCAAGGGGTGGTAGCACAAACCATAGGAAACACTAATCTAGCCACTACACTATCGCAGCTCTCAGTGCTAAAAGTAAATTACCACTACTGCCCATGATTTCAAGTCTGAAGGGAGATAACAGAGAAATATAGTTTTTGTCAAACTCAAATCTTAAAGGGACATAACAAATATGAAGGTACTAAAGGAATAAAACTCCAATGATAACTTTCAGTAACTTGTGTAAATTATAAAAAATACAATAGAAATCTTGTTGTAAATAGCACAGAAAACCAAGAAATTGCTGCCAGAATGACAGCTGCAAATTCCACCCCTCTACTGGTCACCTATTAAGAGGGGTTGTTGTGGCACAGAAATACAGACATGAGAGACACATGGATTTTCAGTTTCAAAATATAAAATAGATTGTCAACACTGGTCATCCCTTTGTGGGATGCAATTTTTCGTTATTTTCAAGCCCCACCCTGGCTCTTGCCAGGGGCCGCAATATAGCCCGGCCATAAATATGGCCCAATGGCTGAACGCAGTTTCCAGGACCTCTCTAAAGGTGATCCTCATCCACATGGTGGCACTTTGTCATCTGGTGTTTATCGCTTGTATGATGTCCTAGTGGGGTAAAATGTACTACTACTATAAAATAGATTACATAGAAGCACAGAACTATAGAAGCAATAGGTCTAAGGACGGTAAGAAGGCTCTTTTTTTAATTTCACCAAAATCAAATTTAAAACAAAATACTTACTGGTAGAAAAATTTATCACAGATGTTGAGTTATTATTTCGTCCGTTCTGTCCTCGGTTCTGCCCCTTCCTAGGAGGCTGTTCTGAGACCAGTGTGAGAACCTTTTGCTTCCGGAATTCTCCAACTCTAGATCGACGAGAAAGGGACTTCTGCCACAAACCTGACTTGAGAAGTCCTTCGCAATGAATGGCTAGCTGAATATCATGAGGAAATGAAAGCACTGGATGGAATGAGGGATCTAAAATGGCGACCCTCTCTTTCACTGACATCGTGTCAGGATCTATCGTTAGTGTATTGTTGTATCTGCCGCCACAAATGGGACAAGGGTTGGCTGGAGGGTAACAGCGGCACCGAACATCTGAGAGTCGTGCTGCCTTCAAACTCGTTTTATAAAGCCCTATAGTCCGAAGAATTTTGCGTTTGCGATAACTCCTCAACGGCCTACAACGAGCTGCCTGGCAGGTTGCATCTGTTGAAATGTGTTCAAAAAGATCACTGGTCTTTTCCTTTAGCCAAAGTTCACTTGGAGCTGAAGGACTGCATTCTGCAGTCCCGCAAGCGGCAAAGGAGCTACCGGGAGAGTCTGTGACGCCGTTCACAAAGGATGATGAGATTTTTGAAGAACCAGCCGGGCTGCCAATCGTAGATGAGGCTGGTGATAAACAGTTGCCCAAGGACTGACTTAACCTGGAGGCCTGTCTGTCCACATTGGACATGACTGCAGAAATGTTGCAAGGAGAGGCCTCACTGTCCACTGCTGCTTTCGCATCACCGCCTGAGGACCCCACATGCCTGGACGGCATTCCATGAAGCTTACGCAACAGTTCTACAGCTGTGGGCTGGTCCCCCAGCACCACACCTCCTTTACTGTTCCGAAGCTGCCTGTGAACTTGGCTCTGCTGTCTGATCCGATACTCCAGGTCCGACACTTGCGCTTGTAACCAAGTCCAACGAGAAACTACTGCAGATCTATCAACTGCCCACTTCCACTCTGCTCTCTTTCCCCTGCAAATGAAAACCATAGTGGCTATTAGATTCTACTCCAAAAAACTAATCAATAATTAACTCATTGTGCCCTAACATCATCAACTAACTCCTTCAATCCCTGGGGATTCTCACAGAAAATGCCCAAGGGAATGAATGACCACAATGAAAATTTAAAAATGTATCACTTTCAAATAAACAAATTACACTGCAGAAGTAGCCAGTAGATTTCTGTAGTGTGTTCTGACCAATAGTAAAGTGGCGGTGAACACAATGAGATGGCTGGGATTCCGTGTTATTACACCTCACATGTTCCATGGGACTGAAATAATTAAACCTTCATCAATCTGTATAAGGTCATGTAAGTCCCATTCTTCTTCCTCCAGTCACTTCAGTGAAGTCTTGGCAGGCAGCGTAAGGATTGCCTATGTGCTCTATGTTCCAGGACACAATTTTGTGGGGGTGCGTGGACTGAGACAAGGAACCAAGAGTCTGCATACAAATAAAAAAGTCAGCTACTATATTTAATCTCTGTTGACCTCCACATTTGTGAATGCCTTGGTTAAGCTTAATTTTTCTTCCTCTGTCATTTCATCCTTGCAACATCATGTTCCTTCCCTACAGACAGCAAATGCCTGGCCACGGCACTAGAGAATATTTTGTGCACAGATGATCTAACAGGAAAGGAAAACAAAGATGTTGTTGGGGTGCTTTAGGGCTTCAACCACCCAGTTTAAATAATATAGACAGGCAAGCTCAGTAGGATTAGTAATTTAAACAATGATTTCTTGTTCAACCCGTCTGGGTTATAATATGGATACATCGTTGTTTGTTTTTTATGTTAATATTAATAACTGTCAAAAGTAAAGGAGACATTTCCGCACCTTCAGGCGTATTGGGCATAGAGGGCTAGACATATATTTGATAGACTAATCGGCACTCGGTGTATGTGGTCAACATCACGCTGGCCGTCTTTACTTCCCAGGACTGTACCTGGTACCTACTCAAGGTTAGGTGGACTTGGCAGCAAGATCATTTTTGAAAATAGTCCAGCTCCGTCAGGATTCAAACCCCCGACCTTCCGATCTGCAGGCGAGCTATCAATCTGCTACACCATGACAGCTCCCAAAGACTGTCAATGACTTGTGGTTATTTAATGTTACACAGATTATGTAATAAATAACTGTTAACCATCGTGTGAGTGTAATCAGGCTGAGAAACAAGGGCGGTGGCAATATGATTTCTTTAGAACATTCAAATAACACCATCACCTGACAAAAACACAATGCAACCCCCCCCCCCCCCTGTGTGTGTGTGTGTGTGTGTGTGTGAGAGAGAGAGAGAGAGAGAGAGAGAGAGAGAGAGAGAGAGAGATGAGAGGTAAAAAAAAAGTTTACAGAAATTATACTCGGTAAAAAAGTTGAAACAGCCCCCCCCCCCCCCCCCTATGTGGTTCTTCGCCTTTTGCGACATGCTTGTTGGGGAGGCAGTGGGTCTATTCTTGTTTTCCCTCACAGTGGGGCCCTGGGGGGGGGGAGCTGCGCTCCTATGTTGAAAATCACTGTTATTAAAAAATATATATATACACATAAAAACTTCAAGCGAGATGAGATATTAGGACAATATTTACCTATACACGTGGTTTAAACACAAAGTACTGTTGGCGGTTTTCATATCTGGTGAAATCTAGAAGACAAGCGCCAGGCTATCCCATTAAGTTACCCGCCCCATCTCAAGGGGTAGAATTCCCGACCCTCTTAAAACTGACAAGCATCTATAAATATCCTGACCCAGGCGAATGCATGACGAAATGTAACCTTGACTGCGCTTGTCGATACATTAACCCCCCTCGTCTTTGTTATTACTGCACTGCTCCCCGATCCAATTACTTTAATCCGCTCTGCCGTGGTAACTTATCCTATAACTGATCTCGTGGCCCAAACAATACTTCTTTATGGAAACTACCAAACAATACATCTTTATGGAAACTACCAAACAATACTTCTTTATGGAAACTACCAAACAATACTACTTTATGGAAACTACCAAACAATACTACTTTATGGAAACTACCAAACAATACTACTTTATGGAAACTACCAAACAATACTTCTTTGTGGAAACTACCAAACAATACTTCTTTATGGAAACTGACACACTAAGAACCAAATGAGATTGTTAACTCATACCTAATGGTTACCGAGTTACAAATTTTTTGAAGTTGAGAACGGGACCAGCTGACGGGTTGTGCTGCTGACGTCACCGGGTTGGGATAACAGTGCGTTAACGCAGAGGTTCTCAAACTAAATGGGGTGCCGTGAGCATATGCCAGAGGTGCCGCGGCAATACTTAAGAAAAGTCGGCTAAAAATTGTGAAATTATTAAAGAAGGCATGTAGATTCTTCTAAAATAGAAGTTTAAATTTAAGTTGTCTTCTCTCTCGCCACTATCGGAAATAGTTCTTTTTTTTTTTTTTTTTTGAGAACCGCTGCGTTAACCCAGTGACGTCAGCAGTACGGCTCGTCAGCTGGAGCTGGTCGTGTTGGGAATGTCTTCTGGAACGGACTGTATCTGTTTTGGCCTCCTAGCGTTACTTGTGTTCTTCTTCTTCTTAACGTTCACCGGCTGTAAACACCGGCGGCAAGTTCTGGTTGTTCGTCCACTTCTTGACTGCAGTCCTGTTCCAGAACCTAAGTGCTGCGTGTGCATGCGTTTCACATATCTAACTAATGTATGCAGACTGTTGGTTTCTTGCCTCTCAGGCAGATCAGATGCACTCCGACTTTGAAGAAAGCTCCCAAATAGTCGATTCTTACGACATGCTTTTGGGTAGGCAGTGGGTCTAATCTTGTTTCCCCTATAACAGGCCCTGAAACCCACACGGGGATTACTTGTGTTTAAATTAAAGACAGATCCGAAGAAACGACACAACAACCAATTATGTGTGGGGGGAAGGGGCATAGGTACAGGAAGGTGCCGGGAAAAAACGGGGCATAAATATTACATGGAAGCCTCAGTGAAGTAACCATTACATGCTTCACCTCCGGTTCAGAGATCTTAGGTTCGAATCCGCATCTAGTCTTTTTTGTTTCTTCAAAAATAATCTGGGCTCCCAGGTCGACCCGGCCTTAAATGGGCACCAGGTCAGGAAGTCAAGCTCGCCGGCCAACGTGATGATGGCTATAAACAGCCACTGAGGTGATGGTCTACACACAAATATGCGTCTGTCGGCACACGCCCGACGCGCTCTTGACCAGATAGGGCGCTTCATGAGTTAAATGGTATATCAAACAATCAAATGATTTGGTCATCTGGTCAACAGAGCAACATCAGCCAGCAGCTAGGGAGTACGCACCGCACGGGAACAGCAGAATATGAGACGAGAGGCCGATCAAGAAAGAGATGGGAGGGGGGATGAGTAAAAGAGACATAAGAAACGCAACCTTATATGAAACCAACTAGGCAACTAGCAAAAGAGGAAACTACGTCGAGCCCTTCTTTGCGACGCTTTACTGCACAAGCAGTAGGACAATGTAAGAAGACGACTGTTATACAAACTGGCAACCAGGACGTGCTGTATTGCAGAAATACCAGCTTTCTTATAAACGGATCGATACAGGGTTAGCAGAACTCATGATGGATGTAAACGTCTGCAAGACACGTTCAGACTATTCATTAAATCTACATGACCAAGAATGTGAACTGAAAGTGTGAACCAAATTGCTGGAAAAATGGCTGGTGGAGAGGGGGAGAGAAGAAAAAAAAAATGGGGGTGGGGAGTGTTAGACCGCCTCAGAGACACCGACTAACCCAAACACTTAACACCCCTAGAATACTGAACCTCTTGGATTTCCTTTGTTTTGGGTCATTTAAAAATAAAGTACCCAGGTCCGTCTTCTAACCCTTTAAAAATAACGTTTCTTCTCTCCCTTCCTCTGATGCTAGCCATTTTTCTTCACGTGCTGCATTTGTGTTCTAGGTCGAGAGAGAGAGAGAAAGGAGAGAGACACAGAAAGAGAAACTTATTAAAGCGACAAGGGACTCCCATTCCCTCAAACACCAATGACAAACCGAAACGCGCAGTCTGTCCCCCTCTCTCACAAACATATACACACACACAATGAGGTCGCCGGTCGAGAAGTCAACAGTCCTACCAAAAAGAAACCCAACAGACCAAGCCACAACAATCAATACTGGAGCTCCGCTACACGGCAACAAGCGTTGCTCTTGTATCAGCAGCAGCGCTGCGGTGTTGACAATTCCATGCTGCTTCTTGTTCTCTAGTTACCCCATTAAAGTGTGAGTGCGCGCGAGCGCCTAACAGACACTTATTATTATTATTGTTGTGACAATTAACATTGGCTGAGGCATACTGAGAGAATGTCAGATCACAGAGACGTGAAAAACTGTACACGAGGAAGCTGAATGGTCGTAGACCACGAGACCGATCAAGAAGACGACGGAGAGATAATATCCAGACAGACCTACACACGCTGTCACCAGCGGGAAGAGAAGAAGGCCAACCAGAGAGACGATGGCCGCAATAAGCCTCGAGGGCTCCGAATGCTTAAATTGAAAACTATAACGTGAAATGTTCGGTGCAGTTAACAAGAGCAGAGGTTCTCAAACTGGGTGCTGCAAGCGACTGCCAAGGGTGTCACGGCAGTGATCAAGAAAAGCCGGGTGAACACTGGGAAATTATTAAAGAAGACATGCATGTTCTTAATTTATAACGTACACCAAACACGAAATTCCCGTGGGATTCCACAGCTGACCTGACAGTTCATTATTTCAAGGGGTGCAAGTGTGCTGTTGTGTGGTGCTGTTTTTGAGTTTTTATCTAGTGTCTTCTAACCCTAACCCTGGCTGTAGATAAATAGCGAGAAACTACAACCTGCACACCCTAGAATTTATTGGGAATGTCTCCTGTGACGTTGTCGTGACGTCAGGGGTAAGTTATAAATTAAGTACCGACATGCAGATACTTAAAGAGTTAAATTTAGGTTGTCTTCATTTGCCGC